AGTATTCACAATTTTCCTGGAGTAGGCGGGGCTTCTACGGTAGGGGCTTCTCAAGGCGGGGCCTCATGTGGCAGTCCAAAAATGAAAATTTCGAAAAAATATCAGTCGGCGAAAAGTGGGCGTGACCAGGCTGGGGGAGACCAATGTGTCATTGCATTAATGCTCGTCTGCAGAAGTTCGTTGTGTGAAGAGTGGGAGTGAAAACAATGACGCTGAAAAAAGTTATGAAAAGTCGAGGTTTGCAACAAATCCTTTGAAAAATGAGCGGAATTGCTCATGTGCCGATGTACAGCCTTTTTCAGCTAGTGTAGCTACGCATTTGCGAAATAACAAAAGTGCAAAAATTCCCAAACGCAATATTTGAAAAATCACGACCACGCTGAAATGTGGGGGTGGCTACAGGGAGGGGCTTGCAGTAGTGTCTAGTAAGGCATGGAGTAACTAAGCCTCGGATCTGTTTCGAAAAGTCGTGTATTTTGTTCGAAAAGTTGTGAACATGAGAAACTTCACGAACGAATTTTTTTTTCTGTAAGTGCGACAGATGGTTTGAGTGGCCATCGGACACATTTGAATCTTTCGATTAGGAACGGTCAGGAGTATGAGTTTCTCCTCCCTATGAATACTGAAGTCAAGAGATAGCCCCTTACCTATTCCTATCAACTGATATGATTAGCTGTCGGTGTGTGCAAATCACAAGAAAATCAATAATACTGTTGGGGGATGCGGTTTTAGGACTATGCTAGATTTTTGTTCGGCTATGTGTACTAGTGTATTGATTGTCCTTAACAATGGTTCCACTTTCCAGGCTTGATCCACGAGCTGGTAAATGGGAAAAGGTCTCTCCAATGTCAACACCTCGACAATATCTGGGATCCGCAGTGCTCCATGACCACTTGTATGCAGCAGGTGGAAAAGATGGCTCATCCCGCCATAGATCGGTAGAAAAATACAGCCCCGTCGCGGAAAAGTGGACCGCAGTAGCCGACATGAAAGAAAGTCGAAAAAGCGTTAGTTCTGTATCTCACCTTCTCTATATATTATGTTAGGGGGGAAAAAAGTCCTGCAACACTTCAACAAATCCCTACCTTGTTCGACGCTTTGAAGGCATAGCCTCACGCAATTACCAGTGGGCTAACGCCAAGTTTGCAAAACACTCACAGCCCGTTTATTTGTCTATTTGATTATTTATTTATTCATTTATTTTTTTATAGGGTTAGTTGATACACACCGCCACAATATAAAACAAGTACCATGTAGTTGAAGTTTAGTTTTTCAATAAATTGAAAAGCAAAAAAAGAAAAAAATTAGAAAAATCCAATTCCTGCAAATCCAATTATAAATGATTACACTCAAGACCAGATAGAACAGCCGAAATAACAGTTATTTCCAGCGAAAATTATAATCCAGAAATGTATAGACCCAAAGGGGAAGAGTCAGACCTTTTCGACCTAATGACCATAAAGCGCAGAAGTAAGAAAGAAAGCACAGAATCCTAGAGATGGTGAAGACTTGGCTCACAAGATGCTAGTAACAGGTGGTGAAACTACTGTCGTACCAATGGGTGGCCCTCAGAGCCACTATGGGAGGCTTCCATAGGGGACAGCGCACTTCTATCAGAGGGAACGCATAAGAAATAGGTGATGAGCCCGAGTGGCTAGTGAACAAAAAAAAACATTGATATTGGGAAAAGGTCTTGCAGTCAGATCAGCAGCAATACGTGGAACCGACACACATCATCAGGAGCGACAACAAACAGCTGCTAGACCTCAAGCCTTGACCAGAGCCGACGTGACATACAGAGTGTGATCTCCATAGAGGAAGAGGAGAGACAAAGATAACTGGATAAACTCCTACTGTTGACCCGAGTCCGATAGCATCATGAAAAAAACAGAAGTCTCGAGCACTAGTTGAAGCATAAAAAGTCAGTTGAATTCAGAAAACGTCCCAGAAAATATGGCTACTAAGAGACTTTGATCAAGTAAGGCCAATCAACACTAACAAAGGAGGCATCGTTCGGGCGTGGAGCCTTTGGCAAAAGTTGTTTGTGGTCATATTGTAGGGAACATACGAGGACCAGCAAACTGAGCTTCATTTCCGCTGTGCGCTTCTAGGAATAATAAAAAGCGTAAAAAATAGGTCGATGGTTCGGATCCCACAGAGACAACAATTGCTTTTCTGTTCAAATTTTTTTCATTTTTTTGGGTTCCATGTTGCACTAACATTTTTTTTCAACACAAGCATCTCGAATTATCAACGTCCACCGATCTATTTTTTATGGCACGAAGTTTTTATGGAGCAGAACCGCTTCTTCTTTTGAATTCGTCAGCATTCGCATACTCAGCTCTTCGGCGCTTTGCTAGTACCAAATGGCACTGGCTCCAGAAACAAATTCAGAAGTCGTGATCAGGACTATCGATTACCCCTAGGAGCAAGTTTTGAGCGAAAAATTTTTTTTGACTTTTTCGGGTTGTAGGTGACCGACCATTTGGTCGGCAGTGTGAGCGGAGTCTCACATCTTCGTAACAGCGATGACGTATCGTTGACGCTACGGACCCCGGACAACCCAATAAGCAAACCCAAGTTGGTCACGACTGTTTTGACCAAAAATTCGTTTGTAGGGGTAATAAGTGACCCTGATCACAGATATAACACCTATTCCTGGCGCCAGAATAGCGTTGAACGGTCCCCATATGGGTGCCCATAACGAATTCAGTGGAAAGAAGATGTGGCCCCAAATTGGCTATAATTGACACCACACCAGAAGTTACTATATTCGCGATCAGATCCACTGTATAGCCTATGAACAACGTCCAGCAACAATCTTGTTCAATGGTGCGTGAAAATCGAAATAGTTGAATAGCACTGACTCATGAGGTACAGCTACTCAGAATGTGCCCATAAATGGCAAATATCCGAGTTATATTCATGCGCAGACACTAATGGAAGCGAGAACAGCGAAATCTAAAAAATGCAAAAAGCCGCAAGCAAGGGGAGTCGAACAATCAACCCAACCTTCACTGTCCAATTGCGAATCCTCCACCCTATCCTCTAGGCCATCCGGTCGTTGGCGCTGTTTACCGCTCTAATCGTTGAAGAGACCATTACAATGGACAGCTCACCCTTGAGCACGTGGAAGCTCATTTGCAACGATTTTCGCTCTGATTCAAATAGTGCCTTTATAAGGACCCCCACTCAGCAACTGGTCAAAGTTGCAAGTGACCTACGCCGCATAGAGGCCCAGAACGAAGCAGATTCCAAAGATTTCTTTTCACTCGTTTTTTACCTTTCCTGGAAGCGCGCAGCGAAAATGAAGCACACTTTTCAGATCCTTGCGCGAGCCCCTGCAATATGCAGAGAAAAGGCTCACCACGCCCTGAACAACCTCCCTTGTAGGTGTCCAACACAGTCCTGAAAAACACCAAATAGATGTCATCAGGAAAATTATTCGCGATGGATATCATATAAATGGCGCCATTCTGCAAATGTTCTTCCAAATTTTTTTCAGATTTTCCTTCGATAGGTTTTTCCAAGAAACGAAGCTGTCCGCATTGGCGGAAGACGATGTGCATAGAAAAAAGTCTCAGTCTGCTGCTCATAGGGCTGATAAAGAGGGGGGGGGGCGCCTGTATCACGAACCGACTGTGTCGACTCGCATAGTTTATTGACTAAAAAAATGACCAACCCACATGTAAACTTCGACCAAAAAAGGCCGAATATCTTGGCACTCCACAATAGCCAGTGCTCGCATTTGGCGAAGATGGGGACACTCACTCTTGGCGCTGGCTCTAATGTGAGACACTGTGATTATATGCGCTCTGCTAAGGCTTAGCCCAGAAACAATTGTAGCGTCCTCCATTAGCGCCAGCTCCAACACTGGGTGTCATACTCGAAACCTGGATGTTGAATTATATACAGTTTTCAGCGGATTTGGTGATCTAGACTTCCGCAGCCAAAAGTAAGCGCATCCAAACGGCATCAGCCCTAGTGCATCCCTTGGAAAAGGACAATTTGATGATTGACGTCAACTCAAAAGATCGCAATATTCTTACTCACTGAAATCGCGGGAATCTGAGAGACGCCAAAACAACACAGATGGATATTTGCCTGCAGTATGGTTCCTGCAGTAATTTTTTTCGTTTATCGAAGTTTTTGATCCTTGAAGGAATATCCACATTGAAATTATCTTTCAAGTGTTGCAGGACTTTTTTCTTATCCAATATATTTTAAATGCACAAAGATTTCTTTCAACGAGCGCAAGAGAATGAGAAAGATTTTATTTAGGTAAGACTGGCCGTTGCCAACGGAAGACTGTATGCCATAGGTGGGAATGGCACTACTGACCAAGAAACCGTTGAAATTTTCGATATTGAAACAAATCAGTGGGAACTTCATAGTTACTTGAATGAGGCGTGAGTAGCCACTGATACAGAACTTTTGTGCAAGCCTATGGGCTGATATGATGCTCTTGTCATTAAATTTTCAGGAGATTCAGACCAGACGTGGGTGTCATCCAACTCTCATGACACTCCCAGCGACTGCTATCGGTAGCATCCAAAAATTTCGCCGTCTTTGTCGCGCCTTTGCTATCCTTCTGGCTTTGCTTGATCCTTTATACATATTTCAGTAATTACTGTGTGAATTTTTCTGCACGTTCTTGTAGCGTAATGTTGTTTGTTTTTTTTTCGCATAAAGGGTCGATTATTCCTCTGATCCACATCTAGCTATGAAGTTTCGAAACTTTATGAATACATGTATTATAATTTCGACTGTGTTTTTTCAAGCCACCTGTGGCGGAAATAAGGTATTGGCATGAGAGTTCTCCTCACTCTTAGAGAGAAATGGTTTTCGTTTAAGCTAATGAAGTCATTCTTTACCTAGGGGTCGCTTAACAGTTTTGACCACGATGGCAGACAATGGTGGCCAAAGCCATTCTTTCGTGGGACGATTTCACACAATGTTGTCTGCCACTACAGGGGGGGAGCAATAAGAAAAAGACACTTTTCTTCCTCGACCTTCGAGGCGCTATAAGTTACACTTTATTAAATTCTGATCGGACCTTTTTACTACCATATTAAAGAGCATATCAATACTATCATGACACTCCGCCACAGCCTTCTGGACCACCGCCATCGAGAGATTCTGCCACGCAACCATGGTTCGGTGCCTGAGTTCAGCGAGATCGTTGATTTCTCCGCCACTGTAGACCACCCTATTGAACTCCGCCCGAACCAGGTAATTGATGGGGTTCAGGTCAGGTGACCTGCTTAGATATTCCACCTTCTTCAGGTACTCAACGCCCTTCCATTCCAAGTAGGCGAGAGTTTTTCCAACGCCTTCCTTCATGTGGTGTCACCCAATCCTGTAGCAGTACAAAGTTTCCAAGAAGGTACGGGCGACGACATGTGGGGAGGATATTCTTCTCGAGTTGCTCGATGTAACCGCCAGCGCTCACCTTCAGTCCGGGGTCCACGAAGAAAATATCGGTCTTTCCATTCCAGGTACTTCCGGTCCATACCATCAACCGCGCCTTGGCGACTGCGGTGAAGATGATGTCCTAGACCGTAGCGACGTTGTCGGAGCTGCTCGATGTTGGAGGTCTTCCAGATCGAGAGTACTGGTCTCCAGGTAGCTATCCATGGGTGACTCCACACTAGAAGTTTCGCAGCTGTTTGACATGAATTCCAAAGGTCTTCTCCAGTCAGGCTGCGACTGGAGATGACTTCATATTTTTGAAGGTGATGGGCGAGAGCCAGCTCCTGCTTATAGAGGAACATCTTGGGTATCTTCCGCCCTGGTACTCGTATCCACGTCCTCTGTCTGGGCTGCGAAAACTTTGCTGATATGTGACTCGGTCGAAGTGTCTTTTTTTATTTGCCCCCCCTGTATATTGTACTAATAATAATGATGTACGAACAGCCAAGTTTGCTAGAAACGTGTCCCTGGGTGTAGCGTGTCCCTCTGAAACGAATACCACAGTCGCTTGGCATGAACTGTTTGGCGCCTGCGCCGGAGGTGCCGACGCCAAAAACCATAAATCAACATAAATCAATAATCGCTGGAATTTTGTCTACTGGGGCAGTGTAACCCCGTGCGAATATCCCAATCGCTTGCTACGGAACTGCTTGGCGCCCGCGCCACAGGCGCCGGTGCCAAAATGTCCTAGGTCATCAAATTCTCTGAAAACATGTCTCCTGTGCTAGTCCGACCCCCCTGAATATGCGTATCATATCTAATTGACGACGATATCACGACAGCCACTTCGTTTGTCCAACAGTTATTGTGTAACTCAAAATCTACGCGATTGTTTCATTTTCTTGCCACATTAGTTCAAGAACAAGCAGTTTCGGGCCAAAGGGTGTGATATTGGTCTTTAGATCACCCACGGGAGACAAATTTTCAGCCGAATATGGCTCCAGGGAAAGAAGTTGGTGAGAAAATGGTCTAATTTTGGAAGACTGGAGCAATAAAAGCTAGATTGTGTCGATGATTTGAGATTCGTATACTCGTCTCGCGTTTCTGATACACTTCCTTTGTAGTCATTCGTTTATTCGAAAATTACTAACCAGGAAAGGATGTTTGGCTGAGGTGGCCATTCGTGATGAGATGTATACCAACTGATTGTTTTTGGAAGCTTACTACAAATCTGCATTTCATAACTGCTAAACAATTCTCTGAGCAGAGTTATGCAGGTTTTTGACCTGGCCCTCCTACTTTCATCATGTATGCACGAGTTCATTCATGACCGTGGATCGCACGAGAAAGACAGCCCCAAGTTCGCAACAACATGCCAACTTGGAAATTTGTTTCCGGCGCGAGCATCAAAACTCACAAACCACTATCCAGCGGAGGGGCCGCATTTCTCATGGAAATATCGCGTTCGCATTCCGAGTGACATCTACTTGAGCGAGTGTGGCACTTGAAACAACGAGAGACGGAGAAAAGAATCGTAATTTGCCGCTTCGCCGCACGCGGCGGTGGGCGCGGCGCTTTCTTAACTCATGTTAACCTGTCGATGGAGCACCGGACTTACATCTATACCCGCATCGTCAAGAACATCCAATTAACTGGTTTACCGGTTTTTTTCACGTACACAAACACCTTTTCTGAATTGTCTGTTTCACCATCATACTTGGAACCATCGCTTACTATTCTGCCCCGGAGCGCGAACGAGGTCGCACGCGGACGCCCTACACACAGAACACACAACCAGAGCCAACACACGCCGCCGAATTCTACCCGATACATACTACAATTAGATCAGGAACAGTATACACACACAAGAAAAGAAAGTAGACAAAAATAAGATAAACAAGCACAAAACAGTGAGAGTACATAGATAAGAAAGAAGGATAAATTAGCCATAGGGATATATTAGCGAACGAGGGAGAAATTCGAAACAGTGGCGGGGGGAGTTATGAGGTATTTTGCTCATGTATAACAAGAGTACACCGGAGCACCTAACCCAGTATAAAAACAAAGACTTTCAGACAGACAAACCATTTGCGTCAGTTTGGGTGAAGAAAACAAGTGATTGCGGGCTGGAAACGGAACGAATGAGGGCATTCAGCGTTGCCCATCGAAACTCTCCCAGAAAGGTCCCATTCTTCCAGAAGTAACGTTTCTCGGCACGATTAGGTCTCCTAGCTACCGAAGCTAGCTAGCGAATTCTTTCAAAAAGGCAGGGAACACTTTCAGAAAAATGCAAAACAAGGTTCTAAGCGGATTCGAGCCATTGACCTCACAAACATGAGACCGATCGCTCATCCACTAGGCCCTCGCAACTGATTCAGTATTCAATCGCGCATCAGTTGTATATTAATACTTGCCGAGCATTGACCGGGTTGAGCAGTGGTCCGCCCTACAAACCTCCAACTTTGTTCGGAGAATCGTTTAAGCAGATTTGGAAAGCAGATTCGAAATCACTGCCCCGAGACGCGTCGGTCGGTATACATCTCATTCCAAATGGCCGCTTCGAACTACCATCCTTTCCTGGTAAGATTTAATCAGGAAAAATTGCCGTCCCGCACGCAAAGCACGAGAAAAATGGCTAGTCGCCAACGCCTTCAAAGACAAACGTCCCTCAGTTGCGAGGTGCGTCCCTCAGCGGGCCTAACGGGCGCTCAGCTGTAGGCGTAGCACCCTTCCCGTGTTAATATGCGTGAGGATGGGGACCCAGGGCTGTGGGATTGGCGAATTTCTCCATACTCCGCCCAGAATGCAACTTGCGGCGCAGACAGGGCTTCACGCCGCAAGCATACCCCAGTTCCATCTTTCATCTGTCGGCAGTCTGCGCGGTGCGTGGCGCGCGACGCTCCTGGCACTTTGCCAAGTCTTGTAGTTTGCGCTTTGAATAAATGAAAATGCAAACTCCTGATGCGAATGACAATTGAGGCGTCTTTCATGCTGCAACCCCGAATCAGATGATGACGAAGGCCAGAATTAAAGAGCAGCTGATGAAAACGTGATTAGGCGCTATTCGAAGCTATAAAAAGGCTTTGAATCAACGAGTAGAAGTCTGGCCATATTGGTCTCATGTTTGGTGGGAATGCGCGGCTTTCGAGGAAGATTGCGGAAACAATATAGTTCATCTCCAGTTCTAGCACTCGTAATGTTCTGACTCAGAGTTTCCAGCATGAACAACGCTTCAGTCGTCATTAGCATCACGAGTTGCGTTTTAATATACAAAAGCGCAAACTACAAGACTTGGCAAAGTGCCAGAAGCGCGCAGATGGCTGATAGGTGGAATTGGCGTTTGCTTGCGGCATGCAGCTTGTCTGTGCCGCATGTTGCATTTTAAGCGGAGTATGGAGGAAATGGCTTATCCCGCAGTCCTGGTTCCCTATCCTCGCACATTTTCGGACGGGGAAAGCGCTACATTTCGACGGCTGAGGGCCTGTTAGCCCCAGGCATGCCAAGGACGCCGCTCGCAGCTGAACGCTTAACTGGAATAGCACCCGTTCGACAACCTGTGAACGAGTGTTGGGGCCAGTCGATGTACGTATAAGTTAGTGTTCTTATACTCTCAGATTCATTTGGTACCAATTTGCCGTCCCCTAGGGTAGAAGGCTTGCTTGGCCTGGGCGGGAGCCGATCGGTGATTTGACTCCCTGACCGTGCGCGTGGTAAGGGCGCCACTTGCCATTACACCACCTTCTCTTCTTTGTTTGGAGAGTATCCGAAAAAATTGGTATCAGTAACTGGCAGCCAACTATAAGTTGGTAGCCGACATTTGGTTCAGCTGTCGTGAATGTGATATAAATGGTGTGGCAATCAGTCGGGGCGGTGTCAGGGGGCATGATATAAGCTCACCCACGGAGTTTTCTACCACTGATTTTTTTTCTGACATGATCACTAAGCGATCGATGATGGCAGAGAACGCAAGTGGAGGCAGGCACACTCCTTTCCCCCGCCTT